ATTCAAAGCGGACGGAGTCGCGGGCGAAAGCTCGTAGTTCATATTTGTATGGACAGTATCTACGGTGTTAATTATAAATTGCTGTCGAAACTGAATTTTGAAGATTCTTTTAGATTGATGAAAAAGGTGACTTACATGTTTTGGATTAGACAAATTCTTAAATAGCATTTTCATTATTTATTGAAACAATATATACAAAACCTGATAAAAGTCTTTCCAAGTTAATGAATACAGTTCAGTATAAACAAATTATGTCATAATTTGAAAATTGATCCAGTTTTGATTGTTGCAATAACCTGTTCGAAATTAACCGTATCGTGCGTTCTCAATTCAAATAGAGAGGTAGGTATAGAACAGTTGGCGCGAAAATGGAAGCGTATGGCTCGTTGCTAATGGGCAACGCCATGTTGGTAACAATTCCAGTATGGTACTTCTGCATCGAGTGAACGTATATGGCCAGTTGTATTATGCGATAAAGATAATTCAATTACTTAACGGTATAAACAGAAATTCGTTTTCTTATTTGAAAATGAAACTTAAAACTTGAAACGCATATTCGATATTTGGATAACCTTTGGTTGTTGCAATTTACGTATCGTATGCGAAATGTTTAATCGTGTCCCACTTAAAATATTAAACACTAGCTTTTGCCCGCGACTCCGTCCGTGTAAAATTTATCTATACTTAATATTATAAAGCTGTAAATAATAATAAGGAAATGAAAAAATATACCCTATGTTACTCACAAATAAACTACTTTTCTAAAGGTGAATTTTTAAAATCGCGCCAGTAGTTCTTGAACCTATTCATTACAATCAAACAAACAAAGTTTTCCTCTTTATTATTAGTATAGATATAAGTATGCTATCATTACCATTTACGTCATTTTCACAATAGTGTTTGTGTTCATAAAAGTACATATAATCTATATGAGAATCTTCAATGTTTTATATATCCGTCGTTCTTTGCCTTTCATACATTCGCCATTTCCCATTTATTATTAATTAGTCAGTTTTAACACAGTCCGTGCATCACCTAATAGTATCAAATCTTAAGATAAAAAAAATAGAAAACGATAATTCAAAAAAAATCACATGAAATATGTAGGTAGTTACACATGTGTTAATACTTGTACCGAGTGAATGCGCTTAGTACACCGAGTAGACACGATGTTACGGTTCCCGCCAGGCCGATGCGCAGAGGGCCGGGAGGTAAGGCTTTTTGCCGCGCTGGAGCTGGTTGAGAGGGCAAAAACAAATGGAAACCACTTGCATGGCTGCCACCCTCTTTAATTAGTGGAGTCGACAAGCCGCGACTGCGAGCCTCGGTTAAATAGGCTCCCTGATTAATTCAGATGCGAGTAATATTTTTTCAAAGGCTGCTTGAAATTTTTTTTTCGAACATGAAAAAAATGTTCCGCCTGTTATTCAAGCCATTTCACCACGCGCAACATCAAAGTGTTCCGAGAAAGAGCTAATTATGAAAACGTATATTTATTTCATTTTCATCTTGTCTTAATTATCTCCCATATGAAATAGGGTTATTGGAATTAAATTATACTATCGTACTAATGCGAAACTTTAGATGGTTAGATGGATGTTTGTTAGAGTTTGAAGCCTAAACTGCTGAATGGATTTCGATGAAATTTACTATAGATGTAGAGGATAATCTGGAAGAACACATAGGCCACTGACTTTTGTTTTTTTTTTATTAAGCTAAAAAAGCTAAAAATGCTAGTATATTATTAATTTACGATAACTTTTTCAACTATTTAAACACAAAATACAAAATCATCACAGATAATCAAAACGAAAAAAATGTTACATTTAAATAAACATTATCAGGAAATAAATAATAAGCTTCATGTAGTTGGGTCTATAACTATAGCAGATTTTTTGAAATTGCCAGCCTTGGATGGGTGTAATGTTTACAACTGACTGGTACGATTTTCTAAATACATTAGCAAAGACACTCATTATTTTTTATATTTTAAATATTATCTACAAGCTTCAGTAATTCCAAATGGATGTATTAATCAAGAAAATGACTAAGATAATCCAAAATGCACTAAACGTGTTGACAGGGAAAATAAAAAACATGTAAATTTCCTCACCTATCCTGTTTTATTTTATTTTTTATCTGCTATTTTATTTTAAACATTTCTTTTGACTTCTATCATATTTATTAGAACTTTTACATTACATCAATAACCCAGAAGTTAATAATGAAAGTACACACATTTTACTAAATGCCTTCGAAGCTTAATAGTTATAAACTTGCAATCTACCATTATGTAAATCTTTGTATTCAATTATTATCATCAAACATATACTAGGTCAAGCCTATTTGAAAGGATAGCATCAAATAGTATTAATTCTACAATAAACTATGAAATATTATTTTGCACCTTGTCTAAACCCATCCCCGGGATATGAAGGACTTACAATGAATTAAATCGAGGAAACTTAACAGTTTTACATATCTATACATGAATTTAAAAAATATTACTTCAATGTCAGAAGCACAGATCTAGTATATCATACTTATTTGTTTCACATTTACTAAAACCTAACCATAACATTTTTTATTCTAACATATTTGTTTTTGTATATCTGTAATTGGTGAAATTATCACTTTTTGATGTGTTATGTGTACTTCAATAGATTCAACAAATTCAGTAGAAAGATTATTTGAATAATTATGTTTTGATATTTTATTTAGGAGTTTGTGAGACAAAATGCACAAAACATTTTAAAACAATCATTTATATTATAAAAAAATAAAGGAATAATATTATACTTACTTGATCGGGGCAGAAATATCCAAAAGCCACCATTCCAAACAGTGAAAGTAGTAAACAAAAGAATATTACTTTTCTCAGTTTTGATCTTGGCTCCATTTTTTTAATTTCGTATGCACCGCTGGGCAGAAAAAGAGCAAAATCACTATCTACTTGCACTGATACACTTTTTTGCATTTCGTTCGAATGCATGTCTCATTTTTACAAAAATATCCTCACGCACTGACTTGTTTGAAATTATTTTCGCTACATTGAAGAGCGCACAGCTTATCAATTAAAAAATAATGTCGAGCTTATAAGAATATTATCGTCTTTCGATTATCGAACATAGATACGAGCTCGATAACATTGTTTGGTATCGTTCTATTTTACACAGCTAAAACGTTATACCACAACCGAGGCCAAAACTAGAGTGTGAGCCGGTGGTACTACGGCGACTATAGCACATCTCGTATGGCAAAATGACAGGACCCAACACAGTATAAACATTTTATATATTACAGTGTGTAGTAATGATGTATACTTTAACACTCTTTGTACCACTTCATCGTTTATTCATTATTGGTACCTCATATTTAGTTAATAAAATTCTTAGTTATTTTATATGAATACACTTCTAAACAAAAGCAAAATTGCCTTTCGTTTTCGTTCATGATTACTATTTGTTCGTTCTGAAACATCGTTGACATTGACATATCGCAACTATTAAAATCTTCGCGTTTAGGTAAATTAAAGATTAAAAATACAAACCATAATCAAGTACGCTTTCACGATTTATTTATATCAATTGTTTATGCAAATTTTTACGTTAGCCACTAAAGTATTCGGCACTTTTTTCTTTTTTCATTTATGTATTTTACTTACAGATCTATCACAAACAACTCCTTAACTCTGTAATGTAAAAAGGGTTTAGCCCGCATTTGCCACAACCCGTGGCTTTGTCTCGATTTTTAATGTTGAACTTATTTCTAATTAAAAGGCATCTGATGTCTATTAATCCCTGAATTTATTTTTCCTTATAGTGAATGTCTATTAATCCCTGAATTTTTCCGAAACTAGTTATGGCTTTCCACTACAAACAAGTTTATATTTCACCAGTTTAACTGTATCGACCAAGTGACCGGTTGTTCTTTATCTGATTTCCTTTCTGTTAGATCCATTCACATTGAGATAAATACTAGATCTAATAAATTTTCTTGTGTGATTGCAAAGTTAACGAATTACTATTTTATGTTAATGCTTTATTTTTTTTTTGTTTTTCTGAACGGGAACTAAATATAGTGGCGGCGGAGAGCGAATGCCAGTCCCCCCAGGTGACTAGAACAACACGGTCACATTATCCTTACATCAAAGTATGGACACAGTTATTTGAATATTGGATTGTTACAATGGAGAAGTAATATTTTTTCAATGTCTCGATGTCTTACGCCGCCACTAAAGGGAGGAAAACAAAAAAGGCAAAGGTTGGATTAAAATAATAAGTTAACAACGTCTATGACAGGTTTTAATCCAATATCATTTTGAACTCTATATTATAATTCCTGACATAATTTTTGTAAAATTTGCGAAAACTGAAACACAAACTAATCACACAATGTAGAGAAATTAACATCTACACATTAACGCTTTTTTCACAATTTCATTGTAGGATTCAAATAATTGTGTGTTTCTAGAGCAAGATAGAAGAATTACTCCTATACTTAGAAATCAGCATCTAAATTGTAATGAAATACATGTAGCATGAAACAGCAAATTACTATATTTGTATAATAAAAATAATGTAAAATATAGTGTGGAATTAAAACTAAATAAATCTAATGTTTTAAAAAAGATAAAAAGGCACTTGAAAACAAGGTGGGGGGATAATATAACAAATAAATCTATTGTATGTCAATATGGAAATCCTTTTATCGATAAATTTTCTCTCGTCACACGTTTGTTGCACTTAAAAATATAAAATACTTTAAGCTTTATTTTAGAAAACACATGTATAAAACATATACATATAGTACAAATCAATAATGAACAGTCCCAATCTTGTTAAATCTATAGAAGCTAAAACAAAATTAGTACATAATTTTATCTTATACTTTTGACATAATGATTTTGTTGATTAATACATATTGTTATAATTTATTGTTTAACACCATTTGTAAGTACATGGAGATTAAACAATCTCAATGCCACGAGAGAATCCATTCACTTTTGAAAAATAAAAAAGTTGTATATAAAATGTCCACACCTCATGTGATTACGATTTAAATGTAATATATAAAAGTTATACAAGTCTCCACTGACATAAACTACTAGTATTTTTATAACATTTCCGACACTGATGCGGGATAGTTCTAACACTACACTCAGCGACGTACACATCGATGTTGTCTGCACCAGTCTCTCATTAAAGGATCAACTCCTCTCACCACAGAATTTTCCGTTATAAAATTACTATATTTTATAATTGATTCAGTCCACAAATTTGAAACAAAGTCCACAATCCCCACTCAAAGCCGTGTGCTACGACACACGACAATTTATTGATAATTAATTAATGTTCTGTTTGTCCACTAGCCGTTTTCAATTAAACGTTCTTCCAGTACAAAATATTATTAGCACATTTTAATTTGTAGATAGTTTTTTCATTAGGAAAGCACTGTTCAAAACAACAATATTCTATGTTACAAATATAATTGTTCAGATTAGAGCGCAATCGGTCGCAATATTGATTCCTTTTTCTGTATGTAAACTACATACAAGTGAATTTTTTATGCGGTACCAATTGATTAAAGTACTATTTATCTATGGAGAGAAGCCAGTCCTTGTAATTTTCTCACACATCAAACACGATCAGTTGCGGGGGCGCCCACGGCCACGCGATCCGTCTCTGTCCTGAAAGCCATAATAAACATATTAGAACAATGAAATTTGTATTTCTGTAAAAGCAAAGAACATTATCACAAACCTTGTGATGAGATCTATAATTGGAGTCGCGATCACGATAGTCATGGTCACGCATGTCTCGGCCGTCTCGACCATCGCGGTCATCACGGTAGTCGCGGTGGTCGCGAGAG